GCCCCGTGAGTGTGAGGCGCCCCGTGAGTGGAGGCGCCCCGTGAGTGTGAGGTGCCCCGTGAGTGGAGGTGCCCCGTGAGTGCGAGGTGCCCCGTGAGTGGAGGCGCCCCGTGAGTGGAGGCGCCCCGTGAGTGGAGGCGCCCCGTGAGTGGAGGTGCCCCGTGAGTGTGAGGTGCCCCGTGAGTGGAGGCGCCCCGTGAGTGGAGGCGCCCCGTGAGTGTGAGGCGCCCCGTGAGTGGAGGTGCCCTGTGAGTGTGAAGTCTGTGTTTCGAGCGTGCTGCGAGCGCCAGGCGGAGGAAGCCCCGGTGTGTGAGCTCCGCTTCTCCCCGCCCGGTGTCCCGCCCGGTGCCGCTGATCGCGGCGTGGGCCGCGGGCCGCTCGCCCGGGCCAGCTTCTACCGCGCGCCTTCTGGGAGCCGCGCGCGGCCCCGGATCCTCTGGGGGTTGGGACGCCCCCTTGGGAGGTCAAGGGGGACATCCTAAGCGTGCTTCTCAAACCGCATTTTCTGACGTGAAAACGGTCCTGCGGTGCGGCAGCGTGGGGGGAGCCTGTGCCGGGGGCGTCCCTGGAAACGGGGCGGCGGCGGGGCGTCGCCGAGGAAAGCGGAGTCGCCCGCGCGGAAGGTGGCCGGCAGGGGGCGTTCCCGCTCACGGAGGGAGACGCGCGCTCCCCGACGCCGGGCGCCCCGCGCGGCCTGGTTCTCGGCGCCCACGGCCAGCGGTGCGGGGAACTCACCGTCCTCTCCGTGTCCCTGAAGATCTCCCGGGCCTCCTCGAAGGAGCACTGCTCCTCCTTGCACTCCCGCTCCAGGGAGCCCGGCCGGAGCTCCTCCAGGAACCCGTAGGCGCGCCGGTGCCTGCGCAGGACGCCGTGAGCCTCCTCCGGGGAGATGAAGACTGAGGAATGGGAGCTCCGTCAGACGCTCTCCACCTGCCGCGCCCAGTGCCGCGAGACCCCCCCCGCCCCGCCCCGGCCCCGCCCCCGGCCCCGCCCGCTGCCGCGAGACCGCCCCGGCCCCGCCCCCGGCCCCGCCCCGCCCCCGGCCCCGCCCAGTGTCGCGTGACCGCCCCAGCCCCGCCTCCGGCCCCGCCCGGTGCCGCGAGACCGCCCAGGCCCCGCCCCCGGCCCCGCCCAGTGTCGCGTGACCGCCCCAGCCCCGCCTCCGGCCCCGCCCAGTGCCGCGAGACCGCCCAGGCCCCGCCCCCGGCCCCGCCCCCGGCCCCGCCCGGCGCAGCGGTGGGGTCTCAGGTTCGCGCCGTCCCGGGGGAGCGTCTGGCCGGCGTCTCCCTGCGGTGCTCCCCGGGCGGTCACCCCACTCCCTCCTCCTTCCCGGCCTGGCCTCTCCGCTTCCGGGAGCTGATCCCAAGGGCGCGCTCAGGGGCTACGCGGAAGCTGAGCCGAAGGGGGCCGCGGGCGCCGCTGCGGAAATGTGATGCTGGGGTTCGATGCCCGGCGAGGAGCAGGCGGCGCGGCCGCGGGCGCTGGGCGCCTCCCGGGGCCACGTGACCCGCAGCCAACACCACCTGGTCCCCGCGCCGGCGCCTGCGGAAACCCAAATCCCTCGTCTCCACCCGCACCGCGTCCCCGGCGGCCAGGCCCGCTGTCCCCAGGGCCCCGTCCTGGCCCGAGGCGCGGGCCCTGCCCGGCTCCCCCGCACCGAGCCCGGGCTTCCTCGCTAGCTCCGGGCAGTCCTGGGCTCCTGGGCCTTCCCCGCCGCCGCCCGGCGCCCCTCCGTCCCCGGCCACCCCCGGAGCTCAGGACCCCGCGGATCCTGCTCGGGCGGGTCCTGAGGGCAGAGCGCCCCCGCGCAGCTCCCTGAGGTTACTCGGCGGCACCCAGGACCCCCGCCCTGCTTATGGGAAAACAGGGTTGGGGAGGGCCAAGGAGGTCCCGGGCGACGCACCCCGTCCGCTCGGCGCAGGCGGTTCCTCAGGACGCGCCGCAGCCGGGGGGACCTCGGGGCGTCCCGGCAGCCGGAGGGGCCTCGCGACCCGCCGCAGCCGGGGGGACCGCCTCCCGGAGCGCAGAGACCGGCGCGGGCCGGTGGTGCCGTGAGCTGTGGACGCCACGTGGAGGCGGAGTGAGGAGCGACCCTCCCAGGGCAGTTGCGCTGCCTGAACCCCCCCAACCTGTGGGGGACACGGCCGTGGGGCAGGCGGGAGACGGAGGCCCGGGAGGAGGCGAGCGGGGCGGAGGGGACACGCGGGAGGCGCGTTCTGAGGAAGGACCAGGCCGCCCTTGCTGGGAGGACGGGCCTCAGCGGCTCGCAGGTGGCGGGTGGGCAGGAGCCCCGAGTTCTGCAGGAGGGGCCTCGGGAACGCGGAGCAGAAGTCAGTGACCGAGCGTGTAAGAAGGGACGGAAGGTGGGTGCCACCGGGCCACGTGGGGCCGAGAGACACGCCATCGCCTGTTTTCTTTAAAATCAGCTTCACAGGTCGACGTCCCTAGAGAACCGGTCTGGTTTGGAAGGAGAGGCTGAGGATGCAGGCGGGGACTCCAAAGAATCGAGGCTCCCGGGAGGTGGGAAGTCCTGGACTCACAGGAGGTGCCCCAGGCAGCAAAAGTGGGGAGGGGAGGCCTATGTCCCTACAGCCTGGGGACACCCACAGCCTCGGGCTACCCACATTTCTCGGACGCCCACGTCCCTGGGACACCCACAGTTCTGGGATATCCACACCCTGGGGTACTCCGGGGACACCCACACCCCTGGAGGTGGCGAGAACAGAGCCGGTGACTGCCCCGGGATGAAAGCAGATTTGCATCACAAAAGCCCTCAACACTTCGGGAGACTGAGGAGGGCGGGTCATGAGGTCAAGAAATCAAGACCATCCTCGCCAACGTGGTGAAAACCCGACTCTATTAAAAATAGAAAAATTAGCCAGGCGTGGTGGTGTGCATCTGTAGTCCCAGCTACTTGGGAGGTTGAGGCAGGAAAATCGCTTGAACCTGGGAGGTGGAGGTTGCAGTGAGCCAAGATGGCACCACTGCACTCCAGCCTGGGCAACAGTCTCAGAAAAAAAAAAAAAAAAAAAAAAAGAAAACTCTCAAGAACCAAGGCAACCTGACAAACACGTGATTATTGAGAACGGACAGAATGGAACAAAGAACAGAAAACCGCCTGCACCCCCAGTCCCAGGGGAGGCTGAGCTGGAGCAGGGAACGCCCTCTTTCAGGGGCACCACGGTAGCCACGCCGTGTGCCGGCTCTTTGCCATGGGAGGTGAAGGAGGTGGTGTTCGCCCCCACTGGGCCCCGCTACAGAGCCAGGGTAAGCTCTGTTCGCCTCTATGAGGCCCGGCTTCCACAGCGCATCCTCTGTTTTCTCCTCCTGAGGCCTCAGCTACCCTGCCTGGGGTCACAAGTCCATGCTGTGAGCTAGGGCTGCAGCCTTACATCCCAGGCACTGTCCCCCACAGCCCATGCCCCACTCGCCATCCCCTCAACCCCCACCCCACATGCTGCTTCTCATGCTCCACCCCACACGCACCATCCCCACGCTCCATCCCCGACACCCACGTCCATTACCTCAGACCCACACACCCTTTCCCATGCCGTATCCCCAACACCCCACCCCCCCATGCCCCACACCCCAATCCCCCGCGCTCCATCCCTCATACCCACATGCCTTTTCCAATGCCCCATTCCCCATACCCCATGCCCCACACCCCAATCCCCCACACTTCATCCCCCACACCCACATGCCTTTTCAGACACCCCATTCCCCACACTCTATGCCCCACACCCTCCATCCCTCACACCCCATTCCCTGCACGCCACATGCCATACCCCATCCCCATCCCCCCCCCCCCCGTTTCCCACCCCCCACCCCCCAGCCCCCCATGCCATTTCCCTCACCCCATCCACCATGTCGCAGGCACCATCCCCCACGCACTGTCCCCCACATGTCCTCCCCAGGAGCAGCCTGTGAGCACCTCCCGGACACTGAGCGGCCCCAGACTCCTTGTGCTTATTGGACCTCACAGGCAGGGTCTCATGGAGGCCAGGAAAGCCCACCCGCTCCTAAGGTTCTTTGAAAAATAATCCCGACAAAGCCTGAGCCACCAAGAAGGGCTTCCCACTGTCACACAGCATGCCCTTGGATGCTGGTTTCCGGAAGGAAAGAAATTGAACAGGAACTCCCAGAAAGCCCTCATGGCGGATGGGGTGTCCACAGCAAGGGCGGGTTTGGGAAGCCCTGGCCGGCTCCCGGGACTTGCCCGCTGCCCTTCCACCAAGTTTATGGGGAAAACCTCCCCGGACGCACCTGCAGCCAGACAGCCCTGAAGCCCAAGCAGAAGGCAGAGGAGCCGGTGGGCCTGGGAGGCCATGATGACTCTCAGCAGCGCAGCCCCTGCCTGTTGACATTCCCCATGGGACGGACGGGCAAAGTTCTCGGCCTCCAAGGGTGACAGAGGGATGGGGGAGGGGAGGACAGAGCTGCACCTGGCCAGCCAGTGGCCATACACCCCTTCCTACCAGCCACTGAGCTCAAGCAGGGAGAGCAGGAGCGAGGTCTGGTGGCCCCAGCTATGCTGCAAAGCTGATGGTTTGCTGCCAGTAAGTGCTGAGGGGTGTGTGTGGCACTAACACTTCAAGTACGATCTAGAATTCCAAACCCCTAGGACATAGGAATGTAGGTTGGGAAACATTTAAACCGCCGATGAAAACTTGTCCCATAGCCACAATGCAAGTCAAATCTCGAGAGTGCATCTTGGGTGTGGGTGTCGGTGTTTGAAGGGAGCCTCCAGGAGACCAGGCCAGGTGGGCGGTTGCCTGCAAGGGAGGCCGGGAAGAAGAGAGGATCGTTTTGGCTCTGAGCTGGGCCGCCCACTCCGCTTTGACTGTAGGCAGCATCCCCATTCTCCAGCAGTCCATGTCTTATGTCTTTCTTTCTTTGTTTTGTTTTGTTTTTTCAGATGGAGTCTTGCTCTGTTGCCAGGCTGGGGAGCACTGGTGTGATCTCACTGCAATCTCCACCTCCTGGGTTCAAGCAATTCCCATGACTCAGCTTCCCGAGTAGCTGGGATCACAGGTGTGCACCACCATGCCTGGCTAATTTTTATATTTTTTAGTAGAGATGGCGGTTTCACCATGTTGACCAGGCTGGTCTCGAACTCCTGACCTCAAGTGATCCACCTGCCTCGGCCTTCCTACCAAAGAATCTCTGTGCTCACACTTGTACCGGAGCACCACACTCACACAACCCAAACTCACACCATACACACACCACACCCCCCCCACTACACACGCCCCTACACATATGCCACTCTCACACCACACACACCCCAAACTCACACCATACACACCACATTCACACACACCATACACATGCCACAGTCATACACACCCTAAAGTCACACCACATAAACACATGCACCGCTATACACACTCACACCCACACACATGGGACTTCCAGGCTTTTCCACATCCGTAAGCAATTGGAATCTCGGGGCAGGTCCCAGGAATAGTACTTAATTAACACCAGGGAAACTGCTCTATGTTCGCATTTTGGGAGCCTGTGAGCACACCCCGCCCGGGGCCAAATGCATCTCGGCTGGACGCACGGGCACCAGGGAAACAGGCAGACGCTAACCGGATTTGAGCTTGGACGCCAGTTGGTTCCAAATCCTATTTGGTGCCGCTGGAAGCACGCATTTCCTCTGAGGGAGGGTGTGGGGCATGGGGAGGACAGAGGAGCTGTGTGTGCCCTGTGCCCGGGAAGCTGCCATGGCAAGCTGTCTTGCAGGTCAGTTCCAATGGGTCTGTGCTGGCGAGGAAAAGCCTGTACTCATCGGGCCTCTGCTGCCTGAGCAGAGAAGGGAGCTGGACCCAGGCACCCCGTCAGCCATCAGAGTGGGTGGTTGCTCCCTCGACCCACCCGGGTGCTTTGCCTTCTTGGGGCCACGGCTGGAGGCAGCTGAGCCCTCGGGCCTGCCGGGCGTCACACCAGTGCTGTGTGATGCTAAACAACTTTCAGCTTAAGGAAGAGAATGTATGGAAGGCTGGTTATGATTTGGAGCAGAATTTGTTTTCTGTGGGCCTTTGTCCTGCTTTTCGCCCTTGTCCAGGGTCTTAGTGTGGAGAGAAATTCACCAGGGGTGTGCTCAGATGTGTCCATCTTTTCTTTCTGTCCATCTCTTAAAGTGTAGCTTTTTCGTCTTTTGTAAGAAATCTATCCTTACCCTAGGCAGTAAGAATATTCTGTTTTCTCATAATAATCTGAATGTTTTGATCTTAAGTTTGGGAGATGATGGCTCTACTTTTACGCCATCATCCACATGGAAGGGCAGCTGTCCCAATGATGCCGGTTCCTGGAGGCCATGCTGTGCCCCTGGCTGAGCAGCCCCAGGACAAGCCAGGTACTTGCACACATGGGAACCCGAATTCTGCTTGGCCAGTTTAGCCTCGCTCCCCCTCGTCACGGCTGACGGCAGGTTTATGACCTGTCCAGACGCCTGGTAGGTGAGCTCTCCACTTCCTACCTCTGCTCCCTGAATCGCTATGGGTATACTTAGACCTTTATCTTCTATGTATGTTACAATCAATTTACTGATTCCACAAAGAATTCTGTTGGGATTTTGATTAAATACACAGATTAATTTGGGGGAGAGTTAACATTTTAGCGATACTGAATTGTTCCATCCATAAAAATCTCCCGTTTAGGTCTTCTTTTATGGCCTTCTATCACGTTTCATGATTTTGCCCAAAAATGTTGTTACATTTATTTTAAGTTTGGTTGCTGTTAAAATAGTATTGCCATTGCTAGGAATGTTAATAACTTTTTGTGGGTTGATCTTGTGGACTTCTTAGTTTCAATAGTTTATGAATTCACCTGGGTTTTCTAGATATGAAAAGTTATTTTTCAATTAGCATGCCTTCTTTCCTTTTTCTTTTTTTGAGATGGAGTTTCACTCTTGCTGCCCAGGCTGGAGTGCAATGGCACGATCTTGGCTCACTTCAACCTCCACCTCCTGGGATCAAGTGATTCTCCTGCCTTAGCCTCCTGAGTAGTTGGGATTACAGGCATGTGCCAGCACACCAGACTAATACTGTATTTTTAGTAGAGACGGGGTTTCTCCATGTTGGTTAGGCTGGTCTCGAACTCCCGACCTCAGGTGATCTGCCCGTCTTGGCCTCCCAAAGTGCTGGCATTACAGGCATGAGCTGCCACGCCAGGCCTTCTTTCCTTTTTCTTTGTTGTGGTAATCACTGGTATGGCTGCTAAATTGCGCTGGATAGTGGTGGGGTCCCTGTTCAGTTCTGCTGCCAGTGGGGACGGTTCTAAAGGACTTCAGTACCTTAAATTTTTGCTGCGAAGATTTTGTTAGATATACTTTATTTGGTTACAGAAATTTTCTTCTACTAGTTGGTTTAACATGATAAATGTTGACTAAAAATTGAAATATTGTTTTGCATTTGTTAAGCTGGTGATTTACCCCTTTACTTGTTAATATGGCAAATTATAGCCATGTTAACATACTATGTCTTGCATTCTTGGGATGAATTTACTTGCTTAGAACTTATTACGTTTATTTATAACATAAAATTGGGTTTTATTTAATTACATTTCATTTGGAATTTTTGCATTCATTTTATTTTTTCTTACATTACCTTGTTGTTTGGTTGATTTTGAGAGCAGAGTCTTGCTCTGTTGCCCAGACTGGAGTGCAGTGGTGCGATCATAGCTCGCTGCAGCCTTGGACTCCTGGGCTCACTTGCCAGGTCTCAGCCTCCCAAGTAGCTGGGACTACGGGTGTGTGCTACCATGCCCAGCTAATTTTTAAATTTCATGTACAGACGGGGCCTTGCAATGTTGCCTAGGCTGGTCTCAAACTCCGGGTCTCAGACGATTCTCCCACTTTGGCCTCCCAAAGTGCTGGAAGTACAGGTGTGAGCCATGTGGCCCAGCTGATTTTTTTCTTACATAATCTTTGTCAGGTTTGGCTGCCAAGGTTAAACTTCCTTCATAACTTTATTGAGTTGCTTTCTCTTGTTATACTCTTTTAAATAGTTTTAATAAATATGTTTGTATGCCTATAAAATCACCTACATCTGGTATCTGGAGTAATTTTTTTTTTTTTTAACTGCAGTGCAATTTCTGTAATTGTTATTTATCTGCCCAAGTATTTTATTTCTTCTTGACCAATTCTAACAATTAAATCCTACTTTATCTGTTTTCAAATATATTGGCAGAAAGGTGTTCATAATGGTTCTCTCATATTTAAAAATTTTTATTTGATATGGAGTTTCTCGGATTTTCTATAAATTAGTTTCATTAAGTTTTTCAAGTACGAAGTCTGAGTTTTGCTTTTGATTTTGTTATTCTCTTTTCTCAATTGTAATTGAAAGAAGCATTTACATAGTTTCTTTGGGTTATGCTGGTCTTATTTTTTGGCTTAAACGGTTAACTCACTTATTTTGTCACGTATAAAATCAGACACTGCTAAGCTGCCAAGGCCAGTCTGAGCCGTGGCTGTTCCTCTTCTATGGCTCTGTGCGTCTGTCCAGTTCTAGAGAGCAGAATCCTGCATCCCTACGGCACTGCCTTTCCAACGAGGAGTTAGAAAAAAGCTTAAATTGCCAGTTTCCACGGTCTTCTCACTGTTTGCTAAATATTTTTCTTGTGCTCCATGTGTGCTGGAAAATAATGCAGATTTATCTGTTTAGGGATAAACAGGGATCACTTTTCATGACAGTCAGCATCTCACCCGACTGCCAACTTTTGCGCATTTTGAGCTTTATCGTCAGCTGCTTATGAGTTCCTGATTGCCACGCAGCCCCGTTTCTCTATTAACTGTCCTGAATTCCGTTTCATGCTATTGATACTGCTACACCAGATTTCTTTTGGTTAGTGCTTGTCTGTTCTTTTTTATTTTCAGTCTTCGATCTTTGTATCGTTGTGCTTGATGGTCTCTAAGTGGTTACTTGTTACATCTGATCCCGTGCTCTTCCAGGAGGCCAGCTTAACAGGGTCGCTCCCGTCTGTTGTGAGGTGGACCCATCTGGGCACTCTCTTCATCACATCTAGTTTCCTGTTCACACACTTTCCCCTTTCTGCACCCCTCCCTTCCTCTATCGGATCAGTAATACCCTCTCTATGCTCCCTTTTCTGGTCTGGAGCATGTCGGCTACACTGTGATCTGTGACGGCTCCTCTGCTGCCTTTGTGTTTCTGACATGCACAGGCTTGCTGCTGTTTTGTCTGACACACTGGAGCAAAGGGGCTGTTCGGTGCTGGAGACGCGCGTCGGGCCCCGCTCACTGCCTGGCTCTGTTCCGTCCCAACACTGACTCGCTGGGTGCAAGCACAGCCCTGGGGACCCCGACGGCACGGAAGTTCTGTGTCTTAGACAAAGGCAGACAGACAACAGGAGTTGCTGATATTTATTCAAACTTCATCCATACAATAAAGAACTCTGCTTTTAAAATTTCATTTACATCAGCAGTTAAAAAAAAGTGACAGTGGATGAAACATGAAGCTGTAAAGTGCCTTTATGGAGAGGGTCACACAAGGGCACGCAGCTGCACCACGAGATGGAGGCACTGCGCTCGCACAGCACGTCGGGGATGTGGCAGGACACAGCACGTTCCAAGTAACTTACACATCAGAGGAAAAGCTACCGAGTCTGCACGCTCCCTGTGTAATTCTGCACCCTGGAGGTCTGGCCAGTGATGGCTGCAGGCTGCTGCCAGGAAGTGAGCGTGAGGGGAATGCAGCCACGCTCGCCTCCACCGCGCTGGGGCCACAACCGTGAGGCGGTGAGTCGGCGCACGCAGCAGCATGGGGATGGCGAACGTGCCCTTTCCGGCGAGGCATATGTATACACATGGTCAGAGGTGCACACATACAAAAATATCTGCAGACCAGACACCAGAAAGGCTTCAAAAGAACAAAATATGTTTCTGAAACACAGGAAGGGTAAAACAGAAGGGGGTTTTTCCAGTTCTGCTGTGATGAATAAAATCAACTCTGCCCACTTACACTTCTGTACCCAAGGTGGTCACTGGGTGGCAGGTGGACCTGGAGGGAGGCAGGGGGCACTCGGGGAGGGGAGTGGAGGTGCGGCCTCCGAGGAGGCTGTGGTGCAGTGAGGCAGGGGCAGGGCTCTCTCAGCTACGGTCAGCAGTGCTGGTGCACGAGACACCCTGCAGAAACGGCATCTCCGTATTTTCTTTAAAAGCAATAAAAATATCCTAATTCAGTGAAGCTCTTTAAAAAAAATCAAGTCCCTGCATTTTATTTTTGTAGAAAAGAAGATTAACTGTTTAAATTATAGTTTAAATTTTCTTTTGAAAATGAAGTGTATGCAGGTAAAGGAATCTCCTTGCTTCTGACGGCTTTTGGTGGTGGAGACGCCACCTGATGTCACCAGGGGCATGTTTTCATCCAACTGTGAGCAGGGAGCTCAGGGAGTGCCATCTGTTCCCACAGGGGGGTCCCCAGAGTCATGCCGTGTTATAAACAACATGCTTCTATGTAAACCCCGGTAACAAAAAATAGTTTTCTATCAAATACAGTATCAAATTGTCATTTCATGTAAACACAGTGATTCCTGGTAAAGAATTGAGGCCAAAGTACCACAAAAAATGGCCATGGGATTGATCCCTGCTTAAAAAAAATCCTAAAACTTGTAAATAGAGTCCCCGTGCCCTGCTCTCCTCAGACCATTGGTCAGAGAATCTTCCCCTTCTCCGGGACCAGCTCCATGGTCTGCACACCCCTGAAAGCACTGTCCGGAGGCAGAGACAGCACGCTGGAGCCAGGGTGAGATGCTGCTGCCTGGAACTCCCTGCCAGGGCTATTCCCGGCAGCCCCTCCTTGGTGGGCTCTGGAGTCTCCGAGGAAGGCCCTGTGGTCTGCGGTCTTCCGTGGAACCAGCCTCTGCCCTGGAGGGGTCCTCTGCAGCCCACACAGCCAGGAGCTCTGGGTCAGAGTGGTGAGGTGCCCCTTCCTGGGATGTCCGGGGGCACCGCGCCCTCCCCATGCCATGCCAGCCCTCGCAGTGGCAGTCCCCAGAGTGCGCTGGTCTTCTGTGCCGAGATGGCGTGGCACTATGCCTGCAGGTTGAAGGGGGCCTGGCCGCCCTCGCTGCAGCTGGACGAGTTGCTCAGCACGGCCGACCCTGGGCTCGACTCTGCGGGGACACCAGGCAGGGACAGGCTTCGGCGTCCGCTCTCCTGGGCACACACGGAGCCGCTTCCTCACACACGGGCCCTTGGCAGCGTCACGGGTGGGCTCGGAGTGCGTGGGCCTTACCTGAGCTGCTCAGGCACTGGGCCGAGCCGGATTGGCAGAGGTGGACAGACAGGCTGCTGGCCGGCACCCAGCCTTCCTTGCCGGTGGTCGGGTCCCTGACATACCTGCAAGGGGTGTGGGTCAGTGGCGGCCACATGCGGGGCAACCCGGGGGTGAGTGCGGCTCTTACCAAAGGCCCTCGTCGCCCTCCTGCACCAGCTCCACCACATCCCCGCTCCTCACAATCAGCGCATCGGGGCCTCCCTTCTCGTGGTCTGCCACGACTGTGTATTTCCCAGGAACCTGGTGGGAAATGGGCGGGGGCACAGGCAGCGTCAACACCTGCCCGACAGCTGCATCGACTGCTGTAGCCCCAGAGTGCCCCATCAGTACCATCTGCTGCACCCTCAGAGCACCCCATTAGTATCGTCTGCTGTACCCCCAGAGGGCCCCACTGGCACTGTCTGCTGTACACGCAGAGCACCCCACTGGCACCGTCTGCTGTACACGCAGAGCGCCCCCAGCGCCGCCCGCTGTACACGCAGAGCACCCCCAGCGCCGTCTGCTATACACGCAGAGCACCCCAGCACAGCCAGGCAGAGTGCTGTGCTAGCTCCCTGGCCCCGTGGGAGCTCCTGGCTGTGGTCATCTCAGGGAAGAGATGCAGCCTTAGGAGGAGGCTACACCGCAGCTCATGACCATGTCAAAGGCGACAGAACACGTCTATGACTCTGTCTTTGGGCCCAGTTGCCCCAGCCTCGGGCTGCTCTCCACACACAGCCCTCGGCCCCAGGCCCTCTGCTTTGCATTCCCGCCCCGGAAGGAGGGCGCTTCCCTGCCTTTGGCTCTTGTTTCCATGCCGCTTTGCTGAGGCCTTCCGTGGCACTCCCCGACGCGCCCCTCCTCTGCCCTCCCTCTTCCCCGCAGCTGTCCTGCGCAGCCGCTCCCAGCCTCACTCCTCTCCACGCTGAGTGGAGGTTCCTGTCTGCGCTGGACCCACTGTCTCTAGAGCCTAGAACTGCACCTGGCCCCCAGTGGATGCTGCACAGATGTTACGGAACACGTTCCTCAGGGGAATGGGAACCCAGGAAGTGGCAGCTGTTCCTACAGAGTGGGGAGATCCACAGCGTCCTGGTGCTGCATGCCGAGGGCTGTGGAGGGGGCTGCGGCTGCAGGCCCTGGTGCAGGACGGTGACCTGGCCACCTGCCCTCACACAATGGCCTGTACTGGCTCCTGCCCCTGTGGTCCCAGAGCAGACAGGACCACTCCCCACACCTTACAGAGAATGAGATCCAAATCCCTCCCCAGGCCCCAAGCGCCCTGGTCCACCAGCCTGTTTCCCCTCCACGTGGCCTCTGCCTCTGTGTCCCCCACATCTGTTCTCACGCCCAGGCCTTCCTTCGTACTGTCTCTTCGGGAGAGGCTGTTGGCCACGAGGGCCCTCTCTGCCCTTCCACGCCTGGCTTCTCTGCCCTTCCAGAGCCTCTGGGACCTGTCCCCTTTGCTCCTGCAGCCTTGGTACGTGGACTAGGCACAGCACAGTATGTGCAGAAGATGCTTCTTGGTGTAACCCTCACTGGAATGATGAACACGTGACAGCTTTTTCTTGCTCTGACATTAACAATGGATGTGGTTTCAAATGCAAATCCATGCCTAGGAGTTCCGTTTTGTCACAAAATGAGAGACAGATGTGGGTACAGTTAGGAAGGCCCAGTGACAGCATTCTATGACATAAGGGTAGTGGGGTGGGACTGTCTCTTCTGAGGAAGGTGCACCCACAGGTGGCTCCACAGGAGTCTGAGTGGGCACCTGGAAATTAACGTAGCAAACACAAAGTGCTGCTGAGACACAGGATTTAGGAGGAGCTGGGGCTGCCCCTGAGACCCAGGGCCGGGGGACCTTCCAGGGTTAGGAGGAGCTGAGGCTGCCCCTGAGACCCAGGACCAGGGGACCTTAGAGGGTTAGGAGGAGCTGGGGCTGCCCCTGAGACCCAGGACCGGGGGAACTTCCAGGGTTAGGAGGAGCTGGGGCTGCCCCTGAGACCCAGGCCCAGTGGACCTTCCAGAAGCACCCCTACTCCTGGAGGGCTGCCCCCACCCCAAGTGTCTGCAGGGAGGCTGTGGTTACCAGCTTCTTGGGGCCCACCCCGCCGTCCTCCTCCGCGTCGGACGAGTTAATCTGCTCCTCTGCACTTGACCAGCCCCCGTCGTCCTCAGGTGCCTCCAGTGAGTGGGATGTTTTGCTCCAACCTAAGAGAGACACACACCCGTGAGGCACCCCCCAGTGATGAGTCGCTGTCTGTATCCGTCTGAGGTAGGGTCACCTAAGTCCCACAGACCCCCTGAAATGTGCGCCGTGGGCCCCCAAACAGAGCCTGTCATCTCCCCAAGTCCATAAAGAGCTCAGTGGGACCCCCGAAGACTTCCAAAATGCCTGGCACGGTCCAGGGTTTGAGAGCCTCTGCTTCCCCCTGCTGGGCTACCCTGCGGAGGCCGGAATCCCTGGGCTGCGGGGGAAGCCACGTCCTCATCAGGCAGAGCACTGCCCCGGAGGCGGCCCCCTGCAGCTGACACCTGCCCAGGGCAGGGGTGTGCCGTCAGGGCCACCATCATGTTCAACACCTAGCAGACTCAGCTGGGAGGCAGTTTCTAAAAGGAATGAAGGAAGCTCATGGAGAAGGCCTGATGCCCTTACCTACGGGATACCGAGGGCTGCGGTCCGCATTGGCAAGAGAGTAGCCCCCAGCACAGCGGCACTGAGACACCGAACCAGGAGGCCAAGGCCATGCAGGCGCCGCGGCAGAGATGGGCTCCCACCCACCATGCAGCTTCGAAGCAGGACGAGAAGAAGGAGCTTCTTTCGAACTTGGGACTCTGCGTGTCCCCCTTCCCCACCCTGATCCTCCTGCCAGGTGCCCGGAGGGCAGCACCTGCATTTCCCATTCAGGGGAGATGGGAGACACCCTCAGGGCTGAATAAACACGGCAGCCTCGGGCGGCAGGCCCAGCACATCCGCCTGGAGCCAAGTGCCTCAAGGCAGGACGCACGCACGCCAGGGAAGCAGGCGAACGCTGACGGGACTCCAGCTTGGGCACAAACTGGTTCCAGATCCTACTTGGTGCCGCTGGAAGCAAGTGTTTCCTTGCGATGGAGGGGGCAGGGCATGGGGAGGACAGAGGAGCTGTGGGTGTGGGTGCCTGAGTGCCCTGTGCCCGTGACGCCGCCACGGCACGCTGTCTTGCAGGCCAGTTCCAATGGCCGACAGTGTCCGTGCCAGTGAGGAAAAAGCCTGTGCTGAGTGGGCCTCTGCTTTCTGTCCAGAGCTGGGCCGAGGCACCCCTCTCAGCCAGCACAGCACGGGGCTGCTCCCTCCACCCCACTTGGGTGCTCTGCCGTTTAGGGGTACAGCTGGAGGCAGATGAGTCAGGCCTGCATGTGCGTGAGAATTGAGGACTGATTTTCCAGCTGCAGACCTGCCCGGGTGCACCTGCAGCTGCCCCTGGCGAGGGAGGCTGAGGCACAGCACAGGCTGCGGGCCCGGGCGCCTCGCTACAGCAGCAGGGACTGGCCTGTGGGCCTGGCTGCCTGCGTCCCCTCCCCGTCCAGGCCCCCAGTTACTCTGAGGCACTGGGCGTGGGGCCTCCGGACAGACAGAACCAACAGTCTGACTGAGGACAGTGGGAACGAAAAAAGGACGGCTGCCATGTGCAGAGGAGCCAGTGTGACCTGGGTAGGACCTCACACATGAACCTCTCCACAGGGGCGGTAAGACTGGCCTGTGCTGGCGACCCCAAGCGACTCTGTCCCTGGCACCACCAGAGACACAAGGCTTCTGGTGCCGCCTGGGCCTGGGGTGTGCAGTGCTCTCCGAGGGCGCCCGGTTGGAACAGTGCCCAGGGGAGGCCAGCAGCGAAACGCTGAGGTCTGACCGTGGCCAGGTCGGCACCGCTGCACCAGGAGGCGGGGGGTTCTGTGTGAAGGCAGGGGGCCGGGCCACGGCTGTGTTTTCTGTAACATAGCCATTGGCCTTTGCTCGACGGAGTCAACACCTGCAGGGCTTGGGAGCCAGCCTGGGCCGCGCCGCAGGCCACACGGGACCACCTGGGCTGTCTGTCGCTGACGATGGTGGGAACAACCCAGGGCGGCCTGGCTTCAGCACCACACTGGCTTCCTCGAGACCCTGCAAGGCTGCACCGGCTCCACTCACGGATGAGGAGACGGCAGCAGAGGCTGAGCTTGGCCCCCGCAGGGCCAGCCCGGCCCACCTTCTCCACCAGGGACTGGTTCCTCGGCTCCAGGTCACACGTGGAGAAGGTTTAACAGACAAGAGTAGCCCCTCCTGGGAGACTGTCGCGGGGAAGTGCCTTTCTAAGCTCCTGGGGCCTCACAGCAGCGAGCTGGGTGCCCACCCCCTCGCAGGCTGTGGGATGGTCAAGAACGCTAGGCCAGCTCCCTGCCTCTGAACCCAAGCCCAGGGTGGCAGCAGCTTCTGCCTGGATCCTGGGGGCTCACAGTGTCATGGGAGGCGGCTCTGGAGGCGGGTGGGATGGGGAGGCTGGATCTGCTTACACCCCTGGGAACCTTTGCAAATTTTTTGAAAACTCAGGAAGATTCTAAACGTGAGATCCCCCTCCCTGCATTTGAGGTCCTCAACAGGGCCAGGGGAAGCCTTTGGGCTTCACAGGGCAGTTTTTACCCGAAGAATACAAGGGAGGCAGGAAGCAAGAATGCCCACGTTCAACAGGGAGCTCGGCCTTGTCTGCCCGGGCAAGGAGGGTCTGGGTCAGCCCTGCCAGCTGCTTCGCTCTGTGTCCCCAGCAGGACACGTTGGGGCAAACTGTGGCGCAGTGAAAGGGCGGGGAACGCGGTGCCCCATAGCCGACAGCAGCCACTGGGCAGTGAGAACCCACCCAGCTCCGCCCGGCACACCAGCTACGGCCGGCAGCCACCGCCAGGGTGGGCAGTTCCACAGGCTCCACGGACCTGCTGTGTGGAGCACCGTCCTCAAGGACCTGTCTCCAGAGCACCACGCATCGAACACAATGGCGTGTCTGCCTCTGGGGCGCAAAGACCCACGCGGCTTCCCCCTCAGGTGGCCCTGATGGCCACCGACAGCCAGCGGGGCAGCGCCCCCCACCAACGCAGAGCGGTGCCGTGCCCGAGCATGCCACTCTACCTCGCAAACCAAAAGGAGTCGGGTCGCTCTTTACTTCGTGCCGCTTGGCTTTTTTGTCAGGACTGGTAGGAGAAGCTGCAAGAGGAGGAGGAGCAGAAATACAAGCGGAGAGAGAGCGTGAGGGAGGGGGAGGCGGCGAGGAGGCCACCGCGCTCAGGTCGGGAGGGGACACCCAGGTCGGCCCTTTCCGCTGATGAGAAGGAGCTTCTGTGAGCAAAATGCAGGGGGCCGAGGGCTGCGCGGGGAGGGAGGGGCCGGGAGCGGCTGGGGGGCTGCGGCACTCAGAGGCGTCCTTTCAGCGCCGTTCCTAGGGACGTTTTCCTAGTTCTGCGCCAGCAGTTTGTAGCGCCAGAATCTGCTGTCTGTTTCAAGTTTGAGGCCAACTTAAAAACATTTGATCTACTGGAAAACACTCCTAGTTCTCTAGAAAAGCCTCGTTCGCCCTGGCCTCGAGGGCTTCCCAGAAGAGCCGCCTGCCCTCCGGGGCCGGCCATTTTCCTCCATCTGTTTCCCAGCATGGAGCTCTCGTGGTGAGCAGGGCGTGAGACGTCCCCACCTCAACGGACCCGTGAGCCCTGTTCACCAGCGATGCCCACAGATGGCTGAGCAGAGCCACGCAGCCAGGAGGTCAGCGCCCCGCAGGGAACTCACCTGAGGAGGCGGGGGAAGTGGGGGCAGGGAGAGGAAAGGGGTGCCGGAAAGCCAGGACAGCACCCCTGTCTGAGGAAGCCTCCGTTTAAAAACTCGCCTTCATTTTTCCAAAGCAAAGCCACCCCTAAAGGCTAACTCTGGTGTCTGTATGCTAGAATGCTAGACACACTGTCAGCGAATATGGAATTGGGGGAAAGACACACTGTTGTGTGGCTGCCCTTGTGGATTCCCCGAAAGGATAACTCGGGGTCTGTGTGCCAGAACGTGACACAGCACCCGCGAATATGTGACCTGGTTGAAAGAAACGCTTTTGCGTGGCCGCCCTTGTGATGAAGGAGGCACGAATGGTCACCACACGATGCACGACACACACCACCATGGTGAGCGCGGGTTCGGGTGGGTTCTGCTTTTACCTTTCTGACCTTTGAGGTTACCAAAGCCCTGCAGGGTAAAGCGCTTTCTGGAAAGCGCAGAGCTTTCTGAGGTAGAGCTAGTGACCGCGTCATCTATGAAGGAAGAGAAAGACACAATGCAGACGGCCTCACAATCCCACGAGGCGAGTCCGGCTGTCGAGGAGAAGAGTGCCCAGGGCGGCTCCGGGTCGCACGCTGGGCCTCCGCCGGGGCTCTGTCTGGGGCTGGCTTTGCTGAGCAGGGGTGCAGGGCAACCAAGAGGGAGGTGCTCTTCGGTAAGGTCCTCAGCTCTATTAAGCGGGGAGCAGGGGCCCTGAGCGCCCGCTCTGCAAACCTTCATGCTGCAGGACGCACGTGAGTCTCAGACATGGGGAGCGCTCCGTGAGCCGCTCTGAGGTCGGGCCCCTGCACACACCCACCTTTGCCCTTTTCGGGGGGCTTTGACAGCGGCGCTGAGCTGCTGTATCCCTCCAGGCTCAGTGGGTCTGTTTTCCTTTCTTCCAGCTTTTTGATGTTCCTTGAGTTTCCTCTTGAGGGACTGATGATATCAGACAAATGAAAAAAGAAATAGTTTGTTGCCTGGTTAGTTTTTCAGAACTCTGAGGGTCCGAGGCATTCAGACATCGCTGAGCTCCCGGCCCAAACTCCACGCTGTGTCTCCTGCTGCTTCTGAGGGGCGCTCGTTTCTAAGATACACCCCAACCAGCTACATGAGAACAGAAACCCACCCTGCTAGCTCTGAAGTAGGAGGTTTTATTTTTTTTTAGTTGTGGTGGGATGGCAGGGGAGTGTTTCTTTTTTAAAGCTACTATTCTATGCATTATTTATTTAGGCCATATCCTGTTCCATGAATGATTAAAGGTGGCTTTTATCAGAAACGGGATAAAGTGAAAAACATAAGTGAATGAATAAAGAAAAAACAAGGGCAGAAGAGACACGATGAAGCCACAGTCAAGGGTGAAATGTGGCCACCCATGTGCTGGGGCCATCAGCACCCAGGGTCCCAGCTGCGGCACTGTCTCTGCAATGTTCGGGTGTGGCTGTGACCGAGTGCTGCCGTGACATGAAATGGTCACACCGGGAAGAGCCGGAGAGGGGCTGGGTCCTGCCACCAGCACACATCTGTGAAGGGGACCCTCTAGGACTGACCCATTAGCACGCAACACATCAACACCAGGGGCCTCAAGGAAAACCCCAATAACCTCGGGATCTCACTGACAGAGGCCGAGGACGCTGGTGCGCAAAACCCCTGCTTGGGAGTGTTCCCAAAATGCAGGCCTGCGGCGGTGACATCTGCGTCCTCACCTGGTGCTGGTCGGCGCCGGCAGGGGCAAGCTGTGTGACTGCTCCAGTGCCCGGTGCTGGCTGGCTTCTGCGAGGAGGGAGCAGATGAACCACGTGAACGGGTGTCCCTGCTTCATTGCCAAGGCACCTCGCACAAGCCGGGACTGGGTGGCTGCTCTGAACACGGGTAAAGAGGCCCCTGGAGCGAAGCTAAGGGAAGCATCGCGGAGGCAGCCTCACCTCGACAAGCCTGCAGCTGGCTGGTCAGCACTTTCCGAATTTCATTCACCCAGGCGGCTTTAATCTCCGGAGTTGGTGCCTGTTTCCGAAAAGAAGCGCCAGGGGGTGAGTACTCAGGCCCCAGAGGAAACACCTTTGGTTTCACTCTCGGAACTTCCAAGGATAGTCTTAGAAGTCAAGGGTCAGATGGCCGCTTGTGAAGTGGGGAGGGAAGCGCTGTGGACGGGCTCCCGGCTCCCCACGAACCGCAGGGACTAACCAGAAGAGCTGTGCCTGGTGCCCAGGGCACAGCACCGTCCCCATGAGAACGGGCCCTGCCTGTGGCCGCAGGTTCACACTCTCCAGCATGCATGAGCTCCCATGGGACGGCAGCCCCTGTCCTCGCAGGGCCCCTCCGATGTGTCCTTTCCCTACACGTGTTTGGGTCCGGCTCAGGGTGGAGACAGCCCGGGGCAGCACCCTCAGGGCACAGCGGCTGCTCCTGGCCTCCATGCGACTTTGGCAGATTCTAGCACCGGTTCCCATGAGGAACCTGTCACGGCGACGGGTAGGAGGCTGGGAGCGGGGTGGGCAGCCCACCTGGACGATGTAGACCTCCTCGCGCGCGTTGTACCAGATCTCGAACTTCTTAGCGTCCCCCTTCACGTTCTCCGTGATGCCAACGGCTGCCATCTGTGAGAAGAGAGCTCCGTGAGCCTGCCGCCTTGTTTTTAAAGGGTGTTGGTGCAGAATGCCCCACCCCCACAGCTACGGGTCAGAGCTGAGTCTCCGTGCAGCCACCGCAGACCAAGGTTTGTGGCAACAGCGACCCAGCCAGAGGTCTCCCTCCTCCCTCGGGGTGCGCGGGCCGGCCTCACTTACATTTAGGGACTGCTTGTAGCTGTAGGAGGGGGCTTTCTCGTACCCCTCCCCGTTCTCCTCCCGCTTCTTGCAGAAGAGCACGGCCTTCTCGTGCAGGAACAGGTGCCGCTGCATGGGCTTGAACCTGGCCAGCTCCTTCACCTTGGTGTGGCCTCTCTTGTGGTCGGTCCAGACGCTGAAGGAGCCCTGCATCAGCAGCTTGCCCAGGTCGCCAAGATTCCCCTAAACGAGGGACCGCGGGGTGCGTTAAAAACGGGGTAGGTATGGGGCTGAGGGAGCACGTCGCTGAGCCAGAGCGGCCTCTCGGCAAAGCCCACCCATGGTGCGGTTCCAGCTGCAGGTGTCCTGGGAGAGGCGAGCTCGTGGAGACCGTGACAGGTCGGGGATGCCAGGGGCTGGGGAGGGAGGGATGGACCCGGGGGCATGTGGGCTTCTAGGGTGGTGACGCTGCTCTGTGTGATGCTGTCGTGGTGGGTGCAGGATGTTACACGCCTGTCCAAACCGCGGACAGCACGGCACCCACAGTGAGCTCCGAGGGGAACAGCCCTGTCACTAATCAGCACCAGGGCCGGTTCTCCACGTGTGGCATGTTGGATGTCAGCACTAGCAGAAGCCTCGGGGACTCAGACTGACACTCAATTATCTCACAAACCAACAATTGCTGTAATAAGCCAACTCTACTAGTTTGGAAAACCTTGAGAATGAGTGCTGCATGGACATAGAGAAGGGCAAAAACGGAATAAGCCGACGGACATGCAGCTCTAAAGGGAAAGTGGACATCTGGCTTCTGCGGCCATTTGCTCTAAGTCACCAGCCCAGGAAACAGACATCTGCTCCAAGCCATGTCTCCTCCCCAGGAGAAGACAAGGAGTTGAGGAGGTCTGAACTGCATTCCTGCTGGAGATGCATGCCCTCCAAGTAGGGGACGCTTCCAGGCTTTCTCCATGTTCCAGAGAGCCCAGTGGGGTCTGGACCTGGCTGTGGGGCCTGGGAGAGGGCTCATCTGGGGCTGCCCAGACCTCCTGCTCAGAACCTGCACATTCACACCAAAGCTAGGGGGCATGCAGGGGAACTGCTGAGCTGCAGGTCTGGTGTATTCCACGGAGGCATCGGGGAAGGCCGGGCGTCTGGGTGCCTTACGTCATAGCCGGTAATGGCGATTAGGTGCATGGAGTCGTTCACGGCCTTCAGGATGCCCAGGATGGAGCTCAGTGCCTCCTGCAGATCCTCAGCCCCCTCGCAGTTCTTGCTGTATTTCAGCATTTCCTGAGGGGCGCAGGGTGGGGCAACCGTCAGGACACGCAGAGCTCTGGAACCCCCAGAACAGACCCCTCGGGAGCTTGGCATGAGGTAGGGACACTGCCCACCCTCCCCTGGTCTGTGGGGAGCTGCCCTGCCCACCCTCCTGCAGCTGGGATGGACTGAGCTGTGCTGCAGATGGGGTGGCACCCCATCACGTGCAGACCTCTGGCACCTGCTCCCGGGGGAGCTTCCTGCTGCCACCCTGATGCCCAGGTGCAGACCCCAGCACCTCCTCCCTGGGGAGCTCCTTCCTACCACCCTGATGCCCAGGTGCAGACTCCTCACACCCACTTCCCAGGGAGCTTCCTCTCGCCACCCTGACCCTGGCCAAAGACATGGAGCTGCAGTTTCCTGCCTGAAGGTTAGAGGGGCCCACATGGCAAACTCATAGCTGGAATCCCCCATCTACGCCTCCCACATCCCTGCTGTGTACCAGATAATCCGGGCACGGCTCCCCCGTGGGGGGACAGGTCAGCACATCACACAGAATCCCATGTGGGCTGGGCTGTGCGGAAACCCGTGGGGATGGGAACTTGTCTGCTCACCTCCGTTCCCAGCACCCCTAACAGTGGCGCACAGTAGGACCTCCAAAGGTGTCCAAATGAGCCAGGCCACAGCACAGGCTCAGAGGAGGTGCCCTGGGCCAGGGAAGGGCAGGGCACAATGGGGACGGGGCCCCAGGGTGGCACAGGTTCTTGGCCAGCAGGTGCCTCGGGAGGCTGGGCCACAGTCACCGCAGAGCCCACCTTGAGCAGCAGCTGGTACTTGGTGATCCTCTGCACCGGCTTCAGCAGGTAGGAGTCCAGGCTCAGCTTGTGGTCCAGCTTCCTCTGGCATTCCTGGAACCAACCCAGAGCTTTGGTTTGCACAATTTTCACCATTCCTCGGGAGTTGGCTGGGAAAGGGAGCTACGCTCTGCAGGAAGGTCCCGGACACACCTGGAAGAACGCGCAGTCCGAGCACTGCCTCCACAGGCTCTCGGAGCGGGGCTTGTTCTGACAGTACTTCTCGTAGATCTGGAAGTCCTCCATCTGCACCGAGGGACAGGAACCACATCACAGAGCGTCTCCCCGGCCCAGCGAGGCACAGCTGCTCGCCCCACAGCTTCTGAGGCCGGCACTGGCTCCCAGGCTCCGCTGGGGGGCCTGCCTCCATTAGTGGGGCTCCCTGTCCCCCACTGACTTCCCAGAGCACAGGCGTGGAGTAGAGATGGGGTTCTACCCCGTTGTTCTTTTTTTCTTTTCTTTTCTTTTTTTTGAGTCTCGCTCTGTCACCCAGGCTGGAGTGCAGTGGAGCAATCTCTGCTCATGCAACCTCTGCCTTCCGGGTTCAAGCGATTTTCCTGCCTCAGTCTCCTGAGTAACTGGGACTACAGGCGCGTACCACCATGCCTGCCTAATTTTTTGTGTTTTTAGTAGAGATGGGGTTTCACTGTGTTAGCCAGGATGGTCTTGATCTCCTGACCTCATGATCTGCCCACATCAGCCTCCCCAAGTGTAAGACAACATGCCCAGCCCCAGTCATTCTTAAAAGGCCACTTATGGTGTCATTTGTTGCTTTGTTTATAAGAGAACTTCTAGCATTTTCTCTGGCAGTTTTACAAACTACCTAAGTTATTTAGTGAAAAACAGACCCTAACCCTATTGTGAGGTGCAACTGCCCTGGGTGCCTCTAGGGGCACAGAATGTTCTAGGCGCACAGAAGGTTCTAGGGGCATAGAAGATTTTAGGGGCACAGAAGGTTCTAGGGGTATAGAAGGTTCTAGGGGTATAGAAGGTTTTAGTGCACAGGGCATAGAAGTCTCTAAAGACACAGGAGGTTCTGGGGGCACAGGAGTTTCTGGGGTACAGGAGGTTCTGG